AAATTTATAAAGATCTTTTAACTAGAAGCAAGCAATCTAAAATTACATACACTTTTTGCAAAAGGTAAAGCATGAATCTGAAAATAATGCAGAAAAATGCTCAGAGGATAACGATAACTTGCCAAAAATAAAACGTTCTCGGTTAATAGTGCTTTTAGTGATGACAAAGAAAACATTGTTAAATTTATATTAATATGTATCACTTAAGAAAATTTTCATAAAGATATTTATCTTAATTATGAAAATATAGTAGCATGCTTTTTAATTTTCGAAATCTAACCCTCCTTTTCGTACTAGTTCTTTGTTTCGCATAACACGGCAATTTTTTGGAACGTAACTACCGTGTTATACGGGGGTTACATGTACTGATTCATATGTATCACAGATTTAACTTGTGTATATATATATATACACACACAAGTAATTAACATGAATATAGTTAATATTTAAGAAGCAGAAATTATAGCTATTTAATATCTGATATCTGCCCGGGTTTAAAGTTTCTGCCACTTAGGACTTCCTACCTATTTGCACAATTTTTGATTATCGTCTATGTATGATACCAATTATGATAAATTATACTAATCCCCATATAACCACGAAACCATTCTTATGGTTAAACGCAATTTTAGTTTTAAGTTTACTTGTTTTAATTATTATACAGTAAATGCGTATTTTTATGTAAGAGGATGGCAAGAAAGGCAAATCGTAGTAAAATAAGATAAACGTATTAAGTCCATTATTTTTTTCTTGTATATTTCTCTTTATAATAATTAAATTAATTAGTAGTTTACGAAGTAATTATTGTATAAATATATTTCTTTCAGTACTTGCTCTGTCGGAAAGTGGAGAAGGTAGAAACAGAAATGTCCAAGATCGCAGTTCAACTTATGATCTATTAATGTTAAATAAAAGAATTGATAGAATTCTTACTGACATTTTAGGTCCTATAATTGGTAATCCTACTACTACTACAAAACCTACTGTTAATCCTACCACTGCATCCGCTATTATACCGACCGATGAACCTACCACTAAACCTACTGTTACACCTACCAAAGGATCTACCTCTACACCTGTTGTTACGCCTACCGAAGAACCTACTACTACATCTGCTATACCTACCGATGAAACTTCTACTATATCTGTTGTTATACCGACTGATAAACCTACCACAATCCCTACTATTATACCCACCACTAAACCTGCCGTGTTACCTACCAGAAAACCAACCACTATTTCTACTGTTATACCTACCACTAAACCTAATATAATACCAACCAGAAAACCTGGTCATATACCATTCCCTTCATTTGGTCCTATTGCTGATGTCAAACCTTTTAACGTAGTTCGTCCTGTTCCTGTTCCTGTTCCTATACCTGCAGCTGCAGCTGTCTTTAACCGCCGTCCCATACCTGGTACCAAATTTCGTCCTGCTTCTCGTCCTATTCGTGGAACTCTTCCTCGTCCTGTCCCTGGGGTTAAGTCTGGTATCATACCAGTCCCTATACGTTTTCCTGGATCGTTTCCTCGACAAGAAAGAAAATAAACAAAGAGAATGTAAGAAAATTATTACAAAAATGTGTCTAAAATTTAAAAAACGAGAATAAATAAAGATCAGTACCATACATAGATAAATAAACTCTGGATTTATATCAACTTGATATTTGTTCCGGTCCAGACCACTGATTAACTGAAAGTCCATCAGTGGTTCGGCTAAGCTTTTCGTTTAGTCGCCTGATAACAATAGAGTCATGCCGGTCATTTATTATTTTTCAAAATTTTCTCCTGAACGGGTTTCTACAGAAAATTATGAACTGAAATCACGGGACTTCCGATCCAAACTAAAAATTCGTACATATTTAGGGCCTTAGCTTCATATCTGGTCTCAATTTTCATCTAACTCCGCTCTCGAGAATAACGAAGGACAGGCACACAGTGGGAATGTTTAGATTTACAATTTATAAATTACAGCCCAATTAACAGATTACACTAATAACGTATTTTATCGGTCGATCTGAGAATGTAACAGAGGCATTTTTGTAGCATTTTGCCCCCTTGTAGGAAGAATTATACAAGTAAAATATACAGTAGTAGTAAATGCATTTTAATTCTCGAATATCTTTGGACATTAATTTTACTTTCCCGACTGTTATGATATAATATTGTCAACGTGCCACTTTCCAGCCTCTGGGATTCTCGAAATTCGATTTCGGATATATCAAAAAACTGACACCTGGGATATGTGGGTGTTAATGTCTATTTTGTTTAATATCTCAACAGGGGTTGAAGACGGAGAAACGAAATTTGCAACGATAATTTCTGTATAAGAGGTATTAGAGCCATGAAATTTTAGTGGGTGAAGTCGAGGGGGTGAAGAGAAAAATGGGGATCGTGTGTCCTATCTCGAGCGGGGCCGAATTTAATGAAGATTTTATTCGTTATTAGCAATTATAATTTTTATAAGAAACTTATTTCTATCCTGAAAATTACGTCTCTTAATTACATAATTGTGTTTTAATAGTATAAAAGTTATGTTTTATTACAATTTTGCAACAGATGGCGCCATAGACAATGAGTAATATGTTTGTTAAACATTAATATTTTTCGCTTGGAAAGTTACGCAATTCGTTTTTCAGTAAATAAACATTCCACACTTATCATTTGTTTGAAAAAAACAATGGCTAAAAAAACGTGCTAAGAGGAAAAGGATCCAATAAAAGATCTCAATGGCTCTGGATTGTACTCTTCCCAGTACTCAGGAAAAAAATTTGGCAATTAAAAAAAAATAATAATAATTCAAAAACGCGCCGATGGGGTAAATAAGGCGCGGTATCGCTCTTTAGTCCGGTGTATCTTTACGCTTGATCGTTTTCCACGTTTGCTGAATTGTCTATCGGCTGTGTGATACAAAAACACTTTTAATTACTGCATCATTTTATGAAAGACATACAACAAAATCGATTAATTAAGCTTCGTATGCAGTGAGCATTTAGAGTTTCGTGAACCATAAACACTCTAATGCAACTACTGTATTTGAAAGTAAAGTATCGATAATTTACTCAGCATCTACGTAATATGTAATCTATTACGTCACATACACGTAATGTTACATGTATATGATAAGCATAACGCGAGAGCGAGAGTCGACTCGGAGTTTTCATTGCGCGCGCAGTTCGAAGTTAGAAGTACTGTTCGAAGTCCAGGCTAAATTTTATCAAATTTTGCGTTCGAAGTTAGAGTCGGTCGAAGTACCCTGTATATAGAATTTTAAAAATTCATAAAATGAAACGAATAAATCGTTAAATAAACTCCTAATTTGCTAAAAAAAAAAAAATCAAAAAGTTATCGTGTTAGGCGCATTTGTTGAATTTATTTCTCGTTGATATCGAATTGTCTCGTATCATACTTATAGCTTATATATCGAGCTAGAAATAAAAGATGTTTTTCATTTTCGTTCTTAATAAAATACGAAAACTGTATGTTATATATAGAGAAAAGACATCTAGGTAATAAAAATTATATAACTTATCACAAAGTTAACTCATATAAATTATAACTTATATTATATTTATGGCCTAGATGTCCTAAATTTAGTTGTACGTTATATATAGTGCAAGCGTAGAGGTGGCCACACATGCTGTCCAGTCACTATTCGGATAAAGTGGGTGGTTGTAATTGTACCCATGTAGAGTTCGCATTCTCCTCTATTATTTTTTCTAACTACTATACATGAATTGGTGTATTTAGCCCATAATTTTGCGCTGAATGAAACCAATATCAAAGTACCATTTTCTAAAGGTCCCCCGGCATCCCTCTTACAAAGTTTCATCATTATTGCCTCAACGGTTTTTTTTCTATCTTAAGATTTTCGATTTCTTCACCAAACGAATTCTTATCACGTTGCAATTATTACACGAAAAAACATTATTAAATACTAAACGTAAAGATCAGTTCGTGGTGGTTAGAATAACGTATATCAGGTTATCGCCCAATCATTGTTTGTCAAAATAAAAGGCCTAATATATGCAATAAACAATATCACGTGACATTGGTCTAGCCCAGGGACCGCCAAAGTGGTCGATATGGACCCCTAGGGTTCGATGCAACATCATTGGGGGGTCGTGCGGCTAGGGGTCGATTAGGAGGTCGATCCGGCTAGGGGGTCGATTAGCGGGTCGATGCGACTGGGGTCACAACCTTTTTTTTTTTTTTTTTTGCTTAGACAGAGACCACAACCCATAACGTTTTTTTTTATTATTTTTTCGCTCATACATATACAGTACACTTGTAATAAAACTTTACGGTGGGGTCAATGTGAGGCTTTGGAAAGTGATTGGGGGTCGACGGTTAAAAAAGTTTGGCGACCCCTGGTCTAGCCGAACAGTCATTAAACATACGACGTTCAAATGTCCAATAAAACAGTTAAATTTGAATCAAATTTTCATGAAAATTACACAACTTTTAGGGTCGCAGGATACTAAATTCTGACAAAAATTTGCGTACAGATTTTGATCAGTTCGATAAATACGTAAATATCTCAAGAACTGTTTGAAGAAATTCAAAATCTGTCCGAACCGAATATAGCCTTTCAGACAGCTCTTACGAATTTCGAACCAGCGGCTCCACCTCTAACCCCTTGTGACATTTTATTATTATTTCAAAATGTATTCTATGCAAATTAAGGAGCTACAGTGACTCACGCCAAATTCTATTCTTTCAGTCGTGTAGATGTTGGGAAGAAGATTTCGAGAAGAGAAATTTGGTCAAAATTTGGCTAACAGTCCCAAATAATTTGAATTCAAAATTTTCGATAATGTGTGCCGGGAAAAGGTCAAACGGGATGATGATAGAATATAGGCTATTCCAAACAGAAATTATAATCTGTAACATAATTTTGACTATCCAAAAAAGTATTTTTTATCTCTTATACACGCAAATATTAAAAATGATGCAGAAATTCATCAAATTAACGAAACTTTATTGGGATTAAAAATATATTCGATATATTTATTTGCTAAATTCGAATGAATTTAGGTCATGCACATGTTAAATACACATCTGAGTTTAAAAGTGTGTCAGGTAATTTGCATAATTTACATTTCTAATTATTTATTTTTTTCCTGTTGTTTTATTCCTTGTAAAAAACATTATTTATGAATTTAAACATTATTTATTTATTTAAACTCGATTAAAATTCCTGAAAGGAAGGCAAAACTATATTATTTGTAAGCATTAATATCCATTGCTTTACATGATATCACGAACCGGCGAAGCTTTCAGATTCGGAAAGATTCGCATTTTGGGGGATTTGACGTCGTCACAGAGATCTTCTAATGGAAATATCACAGATTATCGTGCGAAAAAAACGTTTAGAGTTCTTTTCTATGTAACATTGAATGCATAAAGCTCGAATTTAAACTCACGTATAAAATCTTCATCTTTTAAATAACACGAATGAAAAATAATACAGGAAAACCTGTGTAAAGCGGAACACGGAAATAAACACGTGGAATTGTAAATAAATATTTCACGTCATTAGGTGTATGACGAATTGCACTGTGACGTAGGCAATTTTTTTCCGCATCCAAATGTCACACAATTAGCGACGTTTGTGAGTAAATAAATAGAATAGTGGATCGTCAACAAGCGGTGACTTTTAACCCCGTACGAACTAGAAACACGAGAAATGAATAAGTTGACGTTTATATTCATCATTATCGGTGAGTTTGATTGCTTTATATTATTTTATTTATTATTACGAAGCCGTTCTATTACCATAGTACAATAGTATGTGCTTTAGGATTCCATATATTACATGAGATTAGTTTATCAACGGCTAAGTAGGACGAGGACTACAATTGCACGTGTTGGGGATGGCAAGTTTATTATTAAACTACGAAACCATTTTTATGGTTAAACGCAATTTTAGTTTTAAGTTTACTTGTGTTAATTATTATACGAGTCACTTAGATTTTACAAATACGTTAGCCGTTCACAGTCCGGCAAACGTATTTGTAAAATCTAAGTGACTGGTTCANACATATTTGTGCAGAGGCATAGCCTCTAAAGAAAGGTTGTCTCTGCAATGGAAATAGTTGTTCCTGGTGATTGGACATGGCAATCAAAATTGGACTTGTATCCAGATGTATTTTACTTTTTATTAAATACGAAACCATTCTTATGGTTAAACGTAATTTTAATCTTCCTATGGGGTGTTTCTGCTTTTATCTACTGGAATAAGCCCTGGAAAATGCAGATTTCGGAAACTTCCCTCTGGTGACGATACATTCCAATTTTTTTCTTTTTGTTATTAATTAAAGACAGTCTTCCCAAAAAGGGGCCACCATTTATTTTTCGTGTTCCAGACTTCACATTCACAGACCTTCCTTTATAGGCTACATGCCGCCAGAATTTAAAAACAGTCCTTTAAAAAACACAATTACATCCAATTAAAAAACACTTTTTTAAAAAGGAAAACACTTTTTTTTTTCTTTTATCTACTGCAATAAGCGCTGGAAAATGTAGATTTCTGAAATTTCCCCCTGGTGACGATACATTGAAATTTTTTTCTTTTTGTAAATTTTCGTCTAAAAGCAGAAACACCCCATAGGAAGAATGGAAAGCAAGACGTCTGTGTAACACCAGTTCCTTTTTAAAACAAGTAATTTCAATTTTAAGTTTACATGTGTTAATTATTATACGAGTCACTTAGATTTTACAAATACGT